AAAAAAAAAATAAGAAAAAAAGCACCATAACCCATTTACAGTATATGTAGAGAACTAGACTGTCTTCCCAGACTTACAATCTAAAAATATGAAGCCCAGGGCAGTGGCTCAGTGAGTGGGGCACTGGCCCTGTATACTGAGGGTGGCAGATTCAAGCCGAGCCCCAGCCAACCTGCAACAAAAAAATAGCTGGGCCTTGTGGTAGGTGCCTGTAGTCCCAGCTACTTGGGAGGCTGAGGCAAGAGAATCACCTAAGCCCAGGAGTTGGAGGTTGCTGTGAGCTGTGAGGCCACTGCACTCTAACATGGGTGATAAAGAGAAACTCTGTCTCTAACAAAAAATATATGTATATATATATGAAGCACAATCCCATAAATACATTCAATTACTATGTATCAATTTTTTATAAAATGAAGGTACAGGAGAATTTTTACCCTGAACCAGGTTATTTACTGGTCATATGCCTCCTGAAAACAAATTCCTAACATAGAGAATACAGTCTGTCCGGTTCTCTAGAAAATAGTTCTTTCTCTTTTAAGAAAGTTGATATAGTTCAGTTATTTGCAAGTCTGTTAAACGTACCTACTTTAAAATGGCCTTGGGAGCTTTTTTTTAAATGTAGAAAATCAGCCACCCCAGCCCTGCATTTCTGAGTGGACTAGAGTGCAGCCTAGACACCTGTATTTCTGTAAAGTTCCATCAGGTGATCATGAAGTCCAATGTGTTTGAGAACCACTGCTATAGCTAAGCAGTTGTTCAGGGAGTTTTGTTTGTACAAGCATGACAAAGATGACAAGTAAGTGGAATAGTATACTATGGATGCCTAAAGAGAAAGTAATGAAAACTGTATTGTTTTCACAAAGGATCTGATTCATACACACTTAGCATTAATCATCATGTTTAAAATGTGTCATTACAGAGGAACTGAGTGCCAACGGACAGTATCAATGTCTTGCTGAACTGTCAACCAGCCCCATCACAGTCTGCCATGGTTCGGGTATCTCCTGTGGCAACGCACAAAGTGATGCAGCCCACAATGCTTTGCAGTATTTAAAGATAATAGCAGAAAGAAAGTAAACTTGGAACACCTTTGAAAAATCCTTCAGTAGCACTTACCCCTTCACAAGTAAAACATTTACTATAATGGTTTGGGTTTATGTGTTGTTTCTAAATCTCTTCATAGATGCCATCAACACTCAGATTTAATTATCTCCTAGTAGTTGTTATTAAGCTCTTTTTAATGGCTTCACCTTTGTATTGGTATATTGTATTTATAAACTTTGTACCACAAGGCAGCGTGTAGCACGCATTTTATAGTGCCATGCACATCGGGGGAGGAAACTGCATGTTTGTTGTTGATGATGATGATGATGAAATAAAACTGCTAGCAACAGTCTTACTGGTGCTTAAACTTTTATTTGCGCAAGGCTTTGTAAGGGAATTTGGAAGGTGGCCTTTGAGAATTGTTAGTGTGTTGAGGGACAGGACCAACAGGCTTTGGAATGTGATTATTGAATATCAGGGAACAGGATTATTCTGTTGCATATTTGAATCCATGTAATAAAGAGCTATTATAATGGAGTTTTGCTCATTTTATTAAAGAGCTACTGACTTGACTGTGGTCCTGTTCTTTTTAGCCATTCCTGTGCATAATATTTTAATGTGGATATCCTGTTACATATCCCTAATTTATCTCTGAAAGTGAAAGGTTAAAAAAAAAGCCTAAGCAAAATTTACAAATATACATATGATGAATCACTTCTGGTTTTTGCAAGCATATATAATTTTAGTATTTTTCTTTGACATATTTTATAGGTGAATTACAAGTTGGAAAAACATTAGTAGGATTATCAAAAAACAGACTGGGCATGGTGGCCCATGCCTGTAATCCTAGCACTTTGTGGGGCCTGCTCAAGAGGATTTCTTTAAAGCCAGGAATTGGAG